TGTACAGTGAGGGAAGGGAGAAGAGATATGTTATTTAGGGTTTGAACTGGGTACGGGAGTTGCGGGTTCGAGTATGTGGGTTTGGTTTTATAATTTTTTTTTGTGTTCCAAAAACGGCTAGTCAGGCTCGCTTAACGGGCGCCCTAGCCCTAGGCGACGCTAGGTGTTTGCCTAGGGCGAAGCGGTCCGCTAGAAGCTAGGCCTACTCGGAGGGCGCCGCCTAGACTAGGCCAGCTCGTCGAAGCGCCGCCTAAGACTGGCCACTCCGGAGCGCCGCCTAGACTGGCTACTACGGCCAAAGATAGGTGGCTGCCGGTCTGCCTACGCCTAGGCAGACGCTTAGGAACACTTTTTATAAGCACTGTGTATAACACTGTGTATGTATGTACACACCATAGTTGCATAGAACTCGATTTGTTCCGATTCACGGGACGGGTACGGGAGCGTGGTACGCCACTCATTAGGGATCGGATACAAAGGGTTAGGTTTATATGGTACGCCGGGCAACATAGGTTCAGTTCTTAAATTTAAAAATCAAAGGTTTTGTAGAAGTTAGGTTCTTTTACCCTTCTCATGAAATATGCTAGTTGATATCAGTAATGGTAAAAGAAGCTTGAGAATCATGTTGCAACTAAGGTAGTTTCTCACCTTATTTGTTGTTTATTCTTTTGCAAAAGAGTTGGTTTTCTCAAAATTTTAATTGGGTTGAATTCTAAATTGGTCGCTATAATTGGTGAATCTTGTCATGTTACACCAAGAATCCGGGACGATATAACCTGGGTCATGGTTCTCCATGGTGTCCCTCATTCCTGGCTTCTTCCTGACTTCTATGGTATACACACTAGTCTTCAACAATGTGGTGCACAAGACTAAGTATTATAATGCTTTTGTACTTAATAAAGATAATTGTAAAGTAATGATTAAATTTAGGAAAGTTGAAAAGTTTCATATTGGTTTGAGATGGAGAAATGCAGGGGATAATAAAGAATGCGTAGGGAAATAGAAAAGAATAATTAGTAGTAAATAAGATAAAAAAATAGCATGGCAACCTGTATGTATGTATGTCTGTTTGTGTCTGTGCGTGCACACTACATATATAATTAATCCTGTACTTGAAGAAGCACGTCTTTCTCTTTTGCTTTACTTTTTCATCTGTCATGATATTATGTAGGTAGAAGAAGAACATGACATGACTCTGGTGAGTAATTAGTATTTGTTAACAGTATTATTAATTCTTACCATATAGAATCTTTCTGAATACTCTTTCTGAGACTTTCCCTTATTTTGATATAGTGACGTCCTTTTTTTGTTTTATTACATGCAAAATGTCGGGGTCCTAGTGCTTTGTCATGTGTCAGCATCCAATATGATAAAATTTTGTGAACTGGAGCAGCCAGTATAACACCAAATAACTATATATCTATGTTCAGGTTGTGAATGTTTTTCATGAAATGTCAAAGGGCATTGCTTTTTGGGTCATGTCATTGCATGAACTATTTGATAAATCTTACTTTATGGCTTTCAAGAATCTTGAAGCTGAAACTTCTGTTATTCGTCCATATTGAACTATTTACCTCAAAGATTGTTGGAGTCAATTGAACTTTCACAAATAAGTTGTAACATGCTTTATTGCAGTGTACCATATGAAATGTTGCCAAATCATCACAAATACATATTTATTTATTGGGTTTTTGTCATATTACACCTAAGACTTCCAAATCTTCATATTTGTAAGTTGCACCCTCAAATCTTCTTTTGTTTGTTTCTTTATTTGTTTTTTTGGGGGTTGGGGGGGGGGGATGCAGAGTTATGTAATAACCTTGAGTTAGATTTCAATCTAGTAAAATTTGGTGTTGTAAAATTAGGAGTATGAAGATTAGGAGCGCTGATGGAAAATGAAGAGGAATTTAGGCTTTGAATGATAACCTTATTGATTTTAGGTGTTATTTAAAATAACTAAATTAATCTGGGGTACAAATTAGTCATATGAAAATTTTTGCGGTCTAATATAAAGTTAAGAAAGATTTTAGGGTCTAGTATGACACAATCGCTCATTTATTTGTTTCCTTTTTCTTTTCGACTATTTATCTACGTATATGTTTATAAGTTGATGTTTAAACCTAAAATGTAAGCATTCTGTAAATCTGTTTGCTTCAAATTTAGATTTGAAAGAAAACAAACAAGAATAAAAAAGAAAGTTTTGCTTGCTTTAATGATGTCTTAGTTGTTTATATAATTTGTTACTGGTAAACCATGTCTGTTTGGTGTGGTTCAGTCAATTGTTCTCACTAGCCATATTGTTTGTAATTATTAGTAACAGCAAGTTTAAATGGAATTGTTTTTTATCTTCAACAAACATTCTTCTGCAGCTTCGACTGTTAATGTGGTGGATTTTGATACCTTGTCCACAATTTCTGTTGATGTTATCTTAGTTCTCACCTTGTTCTTAGTTACCATTGTTTTAAATATCCCCGACATTGCCCGATATATCCCCCGATCTATCCTTTCACAGGGCTTGCCGCAACGGATATGATCTCTAAATATCCTTTACCACATTTTGGCTATTTTGGGCGTTTATATCCCTAATGTAGCCGATATACCGGCTAATATATCAGCCGATATGTTGGCCGATATATCTTTTTATGACTTGTCACAAAATAGTATATTGTGTTTGGCAATTTTTGGGCGAGATATCATGTTTTTCCATTATATCAAATGACGTTTTGACCTAAAAAAAATCTGACGATATGTAGCAATGTTGATTTGTACTTTTGTTTATTTTATAAGGTTGATTAGTGATCCTAAACATATATTATTTACATTTTGTATATTTAGATTTCATTAAGTATGTTGAGATTACATTTTAGTACATTATACTACATATGCAAACATCCATTTTGTCATTCTGATCTTTACCACATATCCCCGATATTTCCTTGATATCCGCAATCCGATATGAATTTTGGCCATCCGATATTTTCCTAATATCCGATATTTAAAACCTTGGTTCTTACGTTGAAAGAAGAAAACTCTATGCACTTGTAAATTGGCTTGCACTTGTCTGTAACACAATTTCAATTAGCTTCTCTGAACAATCTAACCGATATAATTTTCTGTCTCCTCTACTTTATGATCCTTACGCTGTTTTAAATTGTGGCCGATTGCACTGTAATTATGGCCGCAATAGCAATTGCGGCACTCTTCTGCAATGATTTCATCAAAAGTGGGCAAAAATAGCGCCCATAAAGCTATTATAGCTGCCAAATGTGCGCAAGAGCATTAAATAGCGGTGAAAAGCGCTGAATAGTGGTGAAAAGCGCTGAATAGTGGTTAGAAGCACTGAATAATGCTTTTGAGTGCTTAGATAAGTGGGCTTTTTTAAAAAATCCAAATTGAAATCTACCTTAAGCTAGTCCTAACTCTCCTATCCACTTATTACCCAATTCTTTTCTCTCGATATCCCCTCTTTGCTCAATACTCTAACACTAACTCTCCGGCCACCGCTTCCACTGCCTCCCTTCACCAACTTCGCTGCCTCGACTACAACTCAATTCTACCGCTTCTTCTGCTACAACTCCGCCACTTCCTCCGCTTTTTTTTTTACTTTTTTTGTGCGATTTATACCATAGGTACATGGTTCGTATGTAGCAGGTCATCATATGAATTCGGGTACACAATTCAAAACTTTGAAATTTTGGATTCGACAAGGGGTAGCTTGCTTCGATAAGCAAGTTTGATATAGGATACAATGTAATTTTTTTGGGTACGCTTATCATTTTTCAAAGTGTATAGTAGAAAATTAGAAACTAGAAAACTAATTATGCATTTTAATATTTTTTTCATAAAAATTACTTCAATACTTCATATTAACAGTTTTTGAATACATAAAGCTTAAAATATTAAATATTAGACAACCTCTTAATATTTTTTTTTTCTAATTTGTAACTTTCTTCCTCTTATCATCAAGTGCATCATCTGCGAATTCGGAGTCCAAACAATTCTACCTAAGCTTCTTCAACTTACGTGAAGAGTCTTTTGAGTTATCATTACTAGAATCCATATCCTATTATTTATATTGACCAACTTTGTAATTCTCACAAATCGTGACAGGAGGCGAATGTTTGAATGGATGAATACTAACTTATCTGTTTTTTCACTGTTCAATCTATTCCTTTTCACACTATGTATGTAGGAATAAGTACTCTAATTTCTCTGAGCTGAAGAGCTACTAATAGACCGAGACAAAATCTTTTTAGCAACATCAATTAAACAAACACTAATCTAGAATTAGTTATTAACTTTGGATAACTTCCACTTACTGAAAGAATACTTTCAATAATATTATCAAAACTTATAAAAAAATCCAAGCGCTTGTGCATGAAAACGAACTTGTAAATTAACTTTGATCTCCTCGTACTTAGTAAGCGGTACGCTAATTTTAGGAAACCAATTCGTGTATCGGAGGGAATCTTTTCAGAGAATCGGTTCGCATGAACTGTTCGACAGTTCGGGGAGGTCGAGGGGATTGCGCAGCTATGATTTATACTGTTTTGACGATATAAATGAGGGGTAATTAGTTATTGGATAATTGTGTGATTTGTAGAAGTTTTAGATTTTTCTTGAATTTTTCTTTTTTTTTGAATATTTATACATATTAAACTGAGCCACTTTTGGACTTTGCGCCTTTTGTCGCTATAGCCCCAAGTACCCTTAGCGGCGCCTCCCCGCTATGCGATGCTATCCGCTATCCATAACCTTGGATCCTTACGGTATATAGACATTATGGTTGTAGCATAAGTAGACAGAAGATATGAAAATTCCATACAATTAGACAGCTACTCAGCTAATTCTTTAGCGTCACATCTCATCTGCTACAGTGTTGATTATAACTACTCAAGTTGAAAGGAACGTGAATACAAGCAGTAATTTATTCATGTCATCTCCCCCCCCCCGGCCCCCTTTCAAGCGGTTGATCCATAGTTTATGCTGGATTTCTGTAGGTGTTTCTAGGCCACTGGATTTGGAGCTCTCTGTGGTGGTATTTTGGGCTCTGAAGTAGCTGAACATTGGAACCAGCTATATAAGATGGATAAGCAGGGTGCTAATCTTAGGTTTCTCTATTGGTGGGAGGATAAAACTCGAGGTTAGTTTTTCTCTTGGATTTGGAATATATATTTCATCATCTATCTCTGTTACAATATATGTTTACTTATTAGAGCACATCCGTTTATTTCATAGTTTATCTTGTTTAGGGCGCCCTTTACTTTTGGGTTCGTTTTTGTATCTATCTTTTATTTGGCAAGAAAATGATTTCATTACCAAATGAAAAAAGTACTTACAGACTCAACTATATGAACAAAACAGAAGAATATGCTCTCTCTTTACAGATATAGCACTGTACTCTTTCCTAAAGATATTCATCTCTAAAATAATAAAAGATATCAATAACAGAATTATCTGTTAGCTACACAAACTCTCTTCAAGAACTGAGGAAAAATGCAAACTTTCCTACACCACTTTCTATTGTCAGGGGTATCCTCCATCGTATCAATGCAACTCAACTTAATCTCTAAACATGAAATTATTTGTTGAGTTAATTTTTCATCAGGTTGAACTTCATGAACTTTACTAAAGATCAAAGCATTCCTCTCAGTCCTTTTAATTTTTGTGCTGTTCGCCCCCCATAAAAAAAATCTAAGTGCCCAAGGAACTAAGATCCTCCAACTGAAAGGAACTAGACCATCATGTATAAAACCAGTTACAACTCCATATTCTCTTGCTAATATGGCATTCAAAAAATAAATGTGCAAAAGTTTCCTCAACAAAACCACATAGGGGACAAGAAGGATCAATGTCCATACCTATTCTTCTTAGATGACTTCTTGTTTGCAGCTTCTCATGACAAACCAACCAAAGAATAAAAGGATGCCTTGGTATGTTCATATTTCTCCACAATTTTACTCCAACTTACCTTAGTATGGGAATGTACCAAGGTCATATAAGTAACTTTAGAACTATAAGGAGGGGGAGAACCTTTCCATGCCATGCTACCATCAGAAATCTCAACCGAAAGAGAACCTTGCTGTCTAAGTTTCAGAATTCTTCTAAGCCCTCAAGACTGAGAAGCACTCACAGGAAATATCTTGTCTTGTCTGTTCTTTAGTTTGGTTATAGCTGTATGAAAATGCTGTCACTAAGACTTCAAATTGTGCTGCATGTGATTGACAGTCTGCTAGTTCATGTGGTAATGCATATTGTACGTGATGGCTGGTTGCATCGATGTGTTATAAGCTTGTGGTGCTTTGTTCAAGTCGTATTTTCTTTGGTTTTATGGAAAGAAGGGATAGTTGTCTTTCTGTTTTGGTGTCACTAAGAGAGTTTGGGCGATAAAATTTTTTTTTGGGGAATTTGGTTTGTTCGCTCTCTTTGGCTACAAAAGATTTTGCACTTAGTAGTGAATAAAAAAGTAGAGCTGAATCTTCTCGTTTTGTCTTCTGTACATTGGTTTCTTATTTGACTTCTTGTATGACCAAACACTCCAAGATCATGTTTATTCACTGAGTATCATGACTTTGATCATACTATTGCTAAAATTCATCTTACTTATTATTAATGTCGACTAACAAGAGAAGTCTAAATCTTGCAGGAGCTAACCAATAGTCAAAGGATACCTAAAAGCTCAGACGCACATTTGCCTGAAAATAAATTGTTCAGTTGTCAGGGCCAATATTCAAGAGCTAGCGTTTATCATCCACTGTATTGCAACTGATAGCTCTGTTCTTCCAATAAGATTGATTTCCCATTAAACCATCTATGTTTTCCCAGAGAAATTTCCCTTTGAACCGTATTATTTTAATTTCTAAGAAGTTTATGTGCCTGCACGCCTGAATTTTTATATATTGAATATGGTCAACACTAAGTTCCTTCTTTGGCTTATTGCATGCATTGCCAGTGAGTGGGGTTTTGGCTTATGTACTCTGATCTTAAATGCATGGAACATGATTTATGCTGCATTATCTTTTGTGCACTCTGATCAAAACACGGAGGGTATTCCTACCGATGCATGTTTACATATGTGATAAGATTTGGTCTTTTTATGAAAGAACTTTTATCTTGTATATGGTTTACAGTGAATAGCATGTGTTTTTTATTTTGTTTTTTGTTGTTGTTTTTGATTAAATGTAAGTGTGATCACCAGGTATGTATTCTGGACGTTCACATGTGCGTTGACCATGATTCAAAACTTCGATAGTTGATAGATGTTAACTATTGCTTTTTTTTTGTGTATCAGGAGCAGTAAAATTGATCCCATTTAGCATTGTGGGAGATTGGGAATGAGATAAGTAGAATGCCATTTTACAGTGGTTCTATTTCATCTCAAGGTAATATCTCAATATATTGAGGAAGGTTTAATGGTTTGGAAGTGCTCATGTCACGAATAATTGTGGATTTTATAGAGATTTCCCAACTTCTAAGTTTTATTCTGCACTTATGTAGTAGCTCAGTGACTGAGGTGATCAGTGTCATGTTTTGTTCACTTCAGGGAATTCTTGGTAAGTGCTAGCTAGCCTTGCAGGAAGTAGTAGGTGCCTAGAAGATGTAGCAAATGCCTTTTATGTCACTACTGACCAATATTGGCTTTATCAGAAGGTTTCCTAGTTTCCTATGGGTGGAGTCTATTCAATGATCAGCCGAGTCTCTATGGAAAAGTGGGAGTTGTTGGAAAATAAAGACGTTGGTTCATATGCAGTGTTTAGGCGTGAGTGGTTTTCAAAGAACAAGAAAAAAGTAGGCCCTATGTTGCTCTAAGTGCTAATATCATGATTAGTAAGGGGCAGCCACTAGTTTTTGTTCCTCTACTGGAAATAGGCCGAATCCGAGTAGTAGCGTCATGCAGGCATATTATGCAAGATTGCAACAACCCAAGCACAATTTACGTCGAGAAGCTAACTGTAGACGTTTCCCTTGATGCAAATTTCAATACAAGTCTCAATAGAGGATATAATATAGAACAAAGTGAAGTATTGAACCCATATCTCCAGGGCATAACAGGGACAGCATTACCAACATTTAGAGGTTTCTGAGTAAGTTCTCAGGATCACTATTTGTACAGACAGTTTCTTAGGATACACCTTGAAATAAAATGGTCATTCACAAGGCCGCCTAGCCCTCTTATCATCAGCAGGAGCTGCTATATGCTAATATAGAGCTCCTAAAATTGGAATCATGTCATGTTGTACTGTTAGTGGGTATGGAATATCAGCTATCATTTGAGGGGCTACATTAAAAACCCCTGTCTGATCTACGGTCAGTGGGGCGACATCAAAAAGCCCATTTTGTTCTACAACCTGCACAAACATGCAAGAATAGATAAATAAAAAATTCTTTCGTGTATACAACTGCAATGCTAAAAAAACTCATTAGTTGAGTGTGGAATATATACTTTTTCCTGAAGGAGTTCATTGGCAGCCTTCAGAATGCCTTCCTGCACAAACATAGAGACATAATTAAACTAGAATTAACTAAAGCATGTATAGTTATTGAACCATCTTGATGGTATCTCCTACCTATTTGGTTTTCTCCTCCTTGTTTTCGTGGGTAGCGCATTTCTTTTGCATCTGACAAGCTTAACCAAACTCTATCCAGAGTTTGTGTTGTAAGAATGTTTGCGTCTATGATATTTTTCCTACTTGCGAGGAATTTAATGTATCAAAATTTTTTTCCGTACAGCTTGCTTCGTTAGGAGAGATCCAACAGTTTTATCTTAGGATTAAAAATTACCAATATATTTGCATAGGGACTTTCCTTTTAATGCATTGGAGTTATCAAGGCCCCTGTGTGGTAGTTTATCTTATGGAAACCTCTTTCTAGTGTATTCTGGATATTTTCACCTTCTCACCCCTGTTGCTAATACTAATAGGTTTTGAGCCCTTTGTTTTAATTGTGTTTAATTTCTTCTTCTTTCCCATTTTGACCTTATACTGATCTATATGCTATTTTGAGCCCTTTAAGATTGAGCCTGGACTTAATTTTGTCGAACTGATATCTGGAATATTCTGCAGCTCAATTTGATAAAGATCAACGGTCACCTTCTTGTTGTCGTTCCTCTGTTAAGGTAGAACTCTTTAGTGTCACCATCATGGTTATGGATATTGTTGGTAGCTCACCATATGATTATTATTTTGTAACAACTTGCTATATGTCTGACAACGTTAACACTCGATGGAGTGTTTTAGATATTGAGGTATTTCTAGTAGAAAATATAAACAGACAATTAGGGACCAACCTCCCGCTATTCTACCCTGAGCTCTAGCATCCAGATGACCTTGATATGAAACGGCTGGGAAACATCTCAGAAAATTTTCCCCATCCACGAGTTAAATATTTAAATGATTTTGACATGAAAATTTGGTTACAAAATTTTGACATGAAATTGCCACAGTAAGCACCATAATTTAAAACTAACCTTGCTTTTCAACTGTTGGATCTCCTGAAACATGATCTGCATCTGTTTGTCAAGAGAATCAATTGAAGCCGCATGTTAATTTTAGAATTCTATTGTACATGTTCTGGAAATAGGGTGCATTGAAGAAGAGCCTTTTAACCTTAGCTGAGCGCGTGTAGTACATCCACATCTCAAGTTGCCTTTCCAGGGCAACTAATTCCTCCAGTGTCATGTGCCCTGATATTCCCTCTCCATACATGTACCTGTAGCACTCTCTGGTTAAGTGATGTATTTCAAAATATTACGAATATTTCTCGTCACACTACTTGTATAACTTCTATCTTCACGAGCTCTTGTGATTACTCGCTAGATTTATGGGTGCAGTACAGGCACATCAAGCACATTAAGGTATTGTTACTGGTGTTATTCATTGTTACTACCAAGTACTATCTTAGTTAAAACCTTGTTTGCTAGCAGTACGAATCAAATAATTGTAATTATTTCCACTTGTGGAATTCTATTTTTGACAAATTAAACAGCATGAGGCAAATTTTTTATGTTGCCTGGATGACAGATTTTAAGGCTCTTCAGCAAGGCGGCTTTTCTTACTTGAAAAGTAGTGATTTACTAGCAGAGGTAAAAAACTTTAGAAGATAAACTTGTATGGATTTGTGTGTGACGTGGCGTACATATCATATGAAATCATGCATATGTGTACGTTTACCTCAAACCTTTCTGAAATAGATCAATCTCTTGCTTCAGCATTGCTACTTCTTGTTTGGGTTCCTACATAGGTGAAGAGAAATGTCAGACTAAAAACTTACTTCCAAATTAGCATATGTATCCACATTAGTTCTATAAAATTTTGAATTTATACAGGGTGGGATGTCTACAGCTTGTTCTCTTCTGATGATACTGACAAGTTATCGTGCTGAATTGAATCTTGAAAGTACGTACAATGGAACAGCAAGTTGTTTAGTGAGAACACAGAGATATTGAAGGTGAAATTGAACTTAAAATAGAATAATATGATTTAGCAAGTATATGTATCCTGGAAAATTTTGGCTTGATGAAGTTAAGATGACTGTAAGGATGTAAGAAGGGGCAGAACAGTGCCTGGTATGCGCTGAAGTTCGAAGTTATTTCAGTAATGCTAATCGAAAATGCCTTACGATTAGGGGAAAGCCTATGAAACTGTACAACTAGCACGGAATCAAGTTTCGAGTCTTAATAATGTACAACTTATAGAGAGTAATTTAGCAAAAGGAGGTGGGATGCTTTTCTTACTAAGATGACACAAGTTAATTAAGTTAGTTCCCTGATCATAGCAATCAGATTATTTCATTTTAGTGAGATCGGTATTTATTGCTTTTAACACAGGAAGTGATCCTTAACTGAGCTTAATGGGGATGAATGGAAAGGAAGGATTCATGAAGTTTTGGAGAGAAGGATTGTTATTTGATTGAAGAGAATGGAGACAAAAGGACTACTGGATGATAGGCAGAGCATAAGGCCTAACATATACAACCTCAAAGATAATAAAATAAAATGCAATCATCATGGATAAACCATAAGTCTTCTCCTCATTTTCTGCATCATATTTGTACACCAATTCTTAGCGTGCATTATCTATCAGATTAAGTCATTCTCATTGTAGAAGAAGGGCCATCATTTCTTCTTTTTACCAC